TCGATATTGTGCAATGTGATATATATATATATATATATATATATATATATATATATATATATATCGGCTCGTGCTCTATGGCAATAAATTTGAATCAATACATTCGATCGACACATCCAATTGTAATCCTTTCCCTTTCTGGGTCAACAGGCCGATTGCTATAGAAAAGCTGTGATTATGGGTGGTGCAACACAAAATTATAATATTCCTGGTTTTATTTTAATATGTTATTCGAAATTAAATAAAGAAGTTTTTGGAATACGTTTTATTATTTTACATGTTATATTTTTATTTGATAAGAATTTCGTAATAGTAAACAGTCACGGCAATATTAGAGTTACTTCAACATGGTTCGTCTTATTGACTGTTTTACCTCTTTCAGCATCTTTGTAATTCTGTCTGGTATTATTTCCTATTAGTTTCTTTCCAACTACCAGTTGTGAGACGTACGACCCATTTATTCACGTTGCTACTTCTTTGCACTATTATTAGCATTTCTACTAGGTGATTAGGCAGTCTTAAGTTTACGTAACACTTGGCAATAGTCGAAAAGTGCATTAAATTGTGCGTGAATAGTACAATCATACAGGTGATATATGTATACAGCGCGATTCAAAGTACCAAAAGTCCCAAGATATAAATATACACGCTACCCTGTTCCACTTTATTTTACAAACTTTTGTCGCTTCCCTTTCACGCCGTTACGGTAGCCCTTTGAGCAATCGTCTGTCGTGACAAGACACAACTGCGCCGAAAATGTAGGCCACGAGCCATAAAGGCCCCTGGGTCTCGGAAACTTTACCGTTCAGTCTATATGAGCACCTTGTAATCTGAGGGATCGCCAGGGTGTCTCTTTAGAGGGTGCCAATGTTACTCCCTGATTTCTCTGTTTTCATGCTTCCGGTATGACCTTCGTCGAGAGAGATTAAGACCCATTTTTTGTATAGTCAAAGTGCAAGAACGCCATCTTTTTCCTTCGTCTCATTTTCATAGTATACCCTACGGCACTTCTTGCGAGTAGAAAGTAAAAGGAAAGTACACTGGCACGTTAATCCACTATAGGAGATTTCATACCTTTCCCTAGTTTTTGTCTGTCTGGAATTTTCCAAAAAAATTAACTACGGTACACATAGGAGCATTCTCTTCGGAATTTACGTATCTATGCATTCGAACAGTATTTAGAGATTTTTATTATTTTTTTTAAGGGTTGTAATTTTCCAACGTCACTCCATTAGATCAAGAATTTGACTAAAGATAAGAAAACAAAATCTCAAATATGAACTTGCAAAAACTACAAGATAAAAGTCCGTCGTTTCTACATATTTAGGATAATATACGTCACGCGTGTACAAGTCCGTAGAGAACTGTAACTAATTTCTAAAAAGGGCCAGGAGCTACGGCGCTTCCGTTTCCTCGCCAGTGGTTCCGAAAGAAACGGCTTTTTTTAATATTGCTAGTGCCTCGCGACAAAAAGATATTCTCGCGCACACCTACCGTTTCTTTCAGTTGGAATCAGTGGGAGGCACGAGTCTAGATCTCTGACGTTAAGGGGGACGCGAGGTCCGATTCTTCAGGGCACGAGTCTCTAGCTAATGTAGGGATGCCAGGGGGTCGTCGCGGCGTCCGGCATCCAGATAGGGCCCGACGTGTCGCGGCTCCACGCGCGTATACATAAATACACTATAGAACCATAGAATTTCATCCCTTATACTAAATCTGAAGAAGGGTGGCACCGCTACCAGAAGATGAGGAACCAGAAGAGGGAATGGCTGGCATAGAGGGCAGGGGGTGGCACTAGTGCACACGAGGCGGGAGAGTAAGAACGACGCACAGAAGTTAACACGGGGGTGCGCATTGTGTGCGGTGAGCGAGCCGGAAGCGCCGCCATACTGGGTATATCCCCCTGCGTCGCTTTTGTTTCCGTTCTCGTAGCCCCGATCGTTTTCTCCAACCCTCGTGCCAACAGCTTTGTCTTCAAACTCGAAAGCCGAGCCTCATAAGCGCCACGACGCCCGTCACTACGTTTCGACGCTCCACTAGTGAGAATTCAGACGCCGCGGAATGGACGTCTATATAAAGATTAACAAATGAAAGAACGTCAAAGTTCTTTCTTATAGGCATCTCCGTGTACGTATCATTCCTTGAAACAAGGGATGCGTCTATGTAAGCAAGCATTAAGGTACGTTGATAAGTATATGTTCTTCAGATCCATCCGTCTAACGATAACGTCATAACGCCAACGTCTAACGATGCCTGGAGGGTGTCGCGAACATTTCGCCACCCCATATAAAACCTTCAATTAGAATTTGTCACGTAGACGTGATTTT